GCTTGAATTCAAGAAGTTTTAGATTTGCGTGGTTTTTTTTTGAGTTGCAAAATCCACTTGAACATGACGCTGCTTTTTTCCAAGTTTCTCAAGAACCATTCCAGCCACAGAATTCGTTTTGGCATCGTTGGATAGAGAATTGAATAGGGTCATGACCCCCATGACCCCCCCCTGGATCCGCCCTTGCTTTGCGTGCAATTTTTCCCTTTAACTGAGTCAACTACAAACCCAGCTCAATCATTACAGTACACAATACAAACATAATTCTAAGTGCATTTTTGTTCCAGCAAAGCAATGTGGACATATTCAGTATGCTGTCGAAGGCCCAGGAGAATTTTAACAAAACGCCGAGTAAATCGGAAGGAAGTGCGTCGACATTCTTGGCATCTACTCCAAGAGTACCGGACATTGCGTCGCAAAGCGTTATGGATTTTTTCGCTAAAGCTAGTACAAAGAATGTGGTTCAGAAGCCAGTGGCGACCGGGGAAAATGTCCTGCAACGACTCATGTCGAATCCGGCCCACAGTGTTGAGCATATCGAGAAGCAGCAGAGGTCGATCACTCCCCAAGAGCTGGCGTCCTATAGAGGGGAGATGAGTGCCGACAGAAGTAGCGTGCCGATTAAGATCGCCAGCTCCAGCTGCCCAGTGAGAAGTTTTGAGGTAAGACAGCAGCAAAGCAACTCAAGAACCAGGCCATTGATTGTTCGTCTTTCTCAGCTCACTAGAAGCGCCCTGGATGTTCCTCGCCTGTCTCCGCCTAAGCAGAATGTAACATCATCGCCCTTGACCTTTTTGATGCAAAGCCAAATCTCCCATCAGCAATCAGACGAAAGTAACGACTTGCTGAGCTCGTCGCCTTTTCAACAGTTCTTGGAGAACGCCCAAAAGCCGCTGCTGATGACTCCAATGATGTTCACAGCGGCGAGCTCCTCGAAAAACGCCAGCGATCACAATGCGACCGAAGAAGGTGAGCCGGTGGCCATGTTGACTGAGAAACAGTTGGCCCAGGCGTTAATTTATCTTTTAAAACACAACGCCGACTTTGTGAAACAAATTCACCAAGCGTACACCAATTCGATATTGGAAAAGGTGGACAAATCGCGAGATCGGAACCTGCTTTAGCTTACCTGATAAATAAAGTAAGTACTCTCTCGGGAAGGATAATTGTTTATCATGAGTGAMATTGCGTTAAGTGAGCTGATTTTCAACTGTTTTGCTCTGTGATATTTCAATGAAGTTTAAAAATGTAACGCCTGCATCTGAAKGTTTTCGRGCAAGAGGTAATTCAGGATTATCTTTGCAAAAAAACCTTTAAAAAGTGAAAGTTATCACCAACAAAACACCAGTTTAGTGTGTGTGTAGAAATTGRGCCYTTTTTGAAAAGCTAATTACTGAAATCCCTCTATTGTTCTAAATATTAGGGAAAAGTCCACCATTCTACCGCAACTTGCACATTAGCACTAAAGCATTTTTGCCTGTCTGATGCACAATTATTCCTCCTGTTGATTTGATGTCTTAAAGAAAGGCATCGCTTGATTAATATCTTTCCAAACTTCCACTCGTAACAAATAGTACATTATTTATGATTGTTTCCTCCAACTTCGACTTTTCGAATGTACCGTTTTAAATTTTGACATGTTTCATGCAAAACAACCATACTGAAAGGATCGAGACGTATTGTGATAGCATTGACTAGAAAGTTGTTTTCGAATTTCACGATATTTTATAAAATCAACCGTCGTTGTTAATATAGTTCGTATTGTTATCTGCATAAGTTTTACGCATGTGATTCTGTGTAGCGCACATGTGTATCCAATTGAAATACTGCCAATTTGAGAAATTTTGAGGTACATTGGAATCAAGGCTAGGAATATTGTCATTGATCAGCGCTTGTTATTGGCAAAATGAGCATCTGTTTTGGAATGTGCCAATAGCAGTAACAATAGTCTTCATGTAATATAAGACTTATCAGCAGTGTTTTTGTTTTGTTCGTGTTTTCCAAATTCAACTCCGTTTCGGGTTTATAAAAATATATTTTAACGTACTATACAAACTTACAGGCTACTTCTCAAAAATAATACAACATTACAATAAATAAGCGATTTATCTTAACTTTAAGTACCTAATCGTATATGTACAATGTGAGGAACAGATTATAATTATATATATATTTATGAATTAGTAAAACATCACATTTTCTGGTTTAATGGTACGTATCTACAGACCCCAGTTTAGTGTATTGCACGAATGCCAGTGGGAATTCGTCTTAATATTGAAATATCGCTGAAAGTCGCTGTGTTAACGCGTAAAGTATGTGGCTCCAGGGGAACTCAGTTCTACATTTCTGGTAATTCTCTAAGTGTTAATGATTAAGCTAAATCTATTACTAACAGTCTGAGTAAATTGAGATTTCTACTCTTGAGTGAAACGGGCTTAAGTATGTAGTGATTTAAGTAGGGAAGTCGGTGGGAATCAGTGCTCCGCGGTAAAATTTTCAGTCTGATAAAGCAAAAATAAGTAACTATACTACGAGTAGAGGCGTTTCTCATCTTTGGAAAACTTGTCGCCGCTATTCAAGTTCAGGTTGGCAGCCACGGAGAAGTCGGGCGTACTCTTTCCTATCTCCACTATTAACGATTTGCGCGAATTTCGGTCACATTGAACGTAGTTCAGCTTCGCGTAAGCGTCATTCTTGCTCTCGTTAGCGAGATTGCCGCCTTCATGTCCCACAAGCAGAGGCATCTGGGATTGTCTATGTGACATGTCCTCCTCCTCATTTACTCCAAAGGCACTGGGATGTGCAGGACTGTAGATCGGCGTCCTCACCGAGACATGACTCGGCCATGTCTCATGTTGGTGTTCGGTTGGAACCACATACATTGCTGGCCTGAAAAAATACACAAATTGTTTAGAATCGAAACAGAAAAAGCGCTGTTTAAAATGGGTGAACGAAACTGAAAATATTGAAAAAACTCACCTTAATTTATGTTGGAAATACCTTTCGTTTTCCTTCCTTAAAAGTTTCACAGCCACAGCAATCAGAGCGAACAATATCACAGCACCGCAAATAGGAACGGCTATTGTTGCCGCTCTGAACCAGACTTCTGAGTTCGAATACAAGTATGATTCGGGAGTCTGATGCGGATATTTGCCGTCGTCATCTGAAACAGTCGAATTTAATACCAGGCCTGATATAAAGTGCGAAAAATTCCTTATTTACAAACGCATACCTAAGGAGTTGTTAAGTAGGATTCTGATTGATGGATTATCGGCGTGATTGCATAAATCGGCCGAACAGCACACCAAAAGCGATCTGGGATGTTGTTTGTCGCGGTTGTGGATTTGCCCATTCTTCTCTGTGAGGCAAAAGTGTCTTAAAGATCTGGAATGGAAGAAAAACGAAGTTTTAAGTCCTACTTATACAGAATCGTAAAACTGGTAAGTTTTCCGAGCTTTTAGGCCCAACTTTTTTGTGTCTAGAAACAGTCGAATATATTGGGACAAAGTTGTAAATGTTAACTGGATAAAAATTGGAAACAATCGAGGGCGTTTTGTATATGACTTTACCGAAAAAAATGTCATGTGTTTGTTTTTTGACTTGTTTTTTTATTTAAATAAATAATTGTGCCTTTTCTGTCCCCCCAAATTTTATGGAGCGAGCCACTAACCGTTTAGTTAATTCTTTTAATGCTGGTTATCTGAACAGTTTTCTGTATTTGTTTTCGCGTAAACACCTGCGTCATTGATCCAATAGTCCATGAATCAATAGTTCAATCTTTTGGACTTCTAATTACGTTTTTTCTCCAAAATCCTTAATATAAAGGTTAAAAAAATTTGGATTTTTCCATATGCTTAGGCGTTTTTAAAGATCTGAAAAACTCTCTTTCTTCTTAGTGTTTCACTTGGCAAAGTCTCTCCTCAAGAGACTTTCAAAGGTGCGGTTGTATTTTGCTGTTATTCAACCGGTGTGAGCGTGACACTTTTATGCTAAGAAATCAGTCTTGTGGAAAACGCTTTATTTTTCAAAAAAGGGTTTTTTAAAATTCAACCAAAAAAGACCAAACGAGATTTCTATCGAGAATGACCCAAAGACTAAAAAATCCAAAGTTTTAATTGGGAAGCCATTAATGTTGACGCTTCGTTCACTTCAGCCAGAAAGTCTTTACAATACTGTACAACGTTGGCATCAAAATTTGTTTTCAAACTTGGCCTCGCTAAAAGCTGAAATCTTTTTAGCCGTGGTGGCGACAAATTGTAACGTAGCAGCGCCTAACATAGCTTACATCTCTCTCAGAGTCCTATAGGTGCGAGTGAGCCAACCGATGTCAGCTGCGTTCCCGAATGGAATAACTTTTCCGATCGGTTGATTCGGTTTCCAAGGAAAAATTTAGAATGTGAAAATCGACTGAAATTCTCAGCTGATTTTCAGAAAGATTGACTGCGATCTTCCAAGCGCTTTGAATTGAAAATCTAATCGCATTTCGTTTTGTGGAAAATTTTAAAATTACAAAATTTTGGCCATCAAATCAAAAAACCTAATTAGTCGCTAATTATTAACTTTACGAGAAAAGTGTATACCGGCTTTTTTATGGGTTTGGCCCCATTCTAGTCAGTGACGTAGTCAGAATTGGTTTTCGTTTCGGAGATATTTGGTATAAACCACACCAGGCTTTTGAATCTGGAAATCTCCACCGAATGCTTTTCAGCCAAAAGACAAGATTTATTTTTTAGTAGAAACAAATAAAAATATTACACTCTGAGCTTCTTAGATTCCTAATCATGCTTGCAATTTAGAGAACTTCAAATAACCGCTTAATAAGATTTTACTCAAAAACCGTGGCCAAATGCAAGAAAATACAAAAATAAGAAATGTTTCGAACTTAATCCAATAATCCATTTATCTGTAAAAAATCTGTTTAATGGCGCCCTTCCCAAACGTTTCAGAGCAAAAAAAACTAGCGATTGTGCAAGACTAAATAATACTTGAAATTTCATGATAAATCACTAATGCAAAACAGACTTCGCCAAATGACAGAGAAAAAATGTAAATAAATCCTGCAAAGAATTAGCGGAAAGCCATTAAAGAATCGTGCAAAATCCAATTCAGCACGTACCTAATTGATCTCTCGCGTCGCTTTTTTTAAAGCTGCACTATTTATCCGATTCGGTTTATTAATAGTGCCGTTATGGCAGGAACGTGTTTCCGAGCTGCATTAATTGACGGTTTATCATAAATATATTCGATAGATTTTTCTTCTGCATTGCAATGAGTGGGGAAAAATGCGACCAGTTATCAACTAGCGGTTCTGACTGGCCAAGGAATTCTAAATCTAGGCCTACATGTTGGGCCTAACTCATTAAAACGCCCATAACGAGGCGAAATCAACGAATTCATCTGGTTCAAGGAAGGAGCTTTTTGCTGTTGAATCGCACACATTTCCAACTGCATTAAGTTCAATTTGAAATATCTATGTCTATGCGGTGGTAATATTTAATGCAGACAGTGGTACTGTCTGTAGTTATTCACTCATTTGCCATTGTTTATTGTATTTTGGCGCCAGTTTTTTTACCAGGCGCCACATCCTTTATTACTAAGCCAGTCGTGCATATTAATAGAACGTTTCATTTACCAGCACCCAACACTATAAATGATTGTTTCTTTTTCGAAGTTTGCTTGATCTCGCCCGTCGATTTATGCGATATTTTTGCCAAACCATGTTTACGCTAATTTCAAAAAAATCTACTCAAAACTAACCAGAGGGAGAAATATAAACTTTCTGTATGTGACACCCTTGGGTAAAATTTGCAATAATGACCTCAAAAATCACCGAATGTCTCTTTTTTTAGTGCAAACTGGGTTCAATCAGCTGAAAATAACACTCCCGAAATACATAAAAAAAATACAGCAGATAGTACATGAGAAACTTGAAGCTGCTGGAAAAATATTGCAAAAAAATATTCAGCGTTCTTTTTCCAAGAGATTCTGGATTTTTGGGGATTATTTTGAAATATCCTGGGGCAAAACCCTGTATAAAGAGGCGCCTGAGTGATTACCTACATCATTTAACCGCTAAGTGTTAAAAAAGAAATATTTCACTTGATCTTCGTAGCCAAACCGGTTGGTACCTATTTAATTTAAATCAGTATCACTTTTTAGCATTAATATACTTTGTGCATCCGCTGCTGATGTGTTGCTCAACACGCCAATTCCCCACAAGTAAAGAATTTTAATCAGCCAAAGTACAGAGACTTAAAATAACAATCGACAGGTGATGGTGGTATGCAATGTGCGGTTGATTAATCGGGCGTCAGCAAATGGGGAATATTAATGGGATTATTTTTCTGCATCCACATAGCTTAGAGGCAGCGTGTGTTGTTGATCGCATAGTTTGGCACAGTAAATCGCGCAAAAAACACGCTTTTCAACTTACTCGGTCAAATATTCCACACATCCATGCCGGCCTATGTAAGCTGACCCGACGGTTGGGTCCAGGAAATCGGAAAAACATCCACCACTGCTCGATTTGCACATGTAACCAGTGCTGACGCAAATGGGCAGGTTGCAAAAACATCGTGTTTGATCTAAAAAAAATAAATAATTTGATATAAAAAACTTTAATCTATGACAAGTTGATCAAACTGACATTCAACATGTCACCCTTCATTCCCCCTTCTCTTGATCATTTAGTTTGGTTCTTAATGGTTGTTAGGGCAGGTTGTGTGCGATTTGCCGGCAAAAATTCGAAAATTTTCTGAAATATTTAAATTTTTCCGCTAAAAAATGTTCATCTTGTGAAAAACAAAGTTCCTCGGCACCTTTTGATGCCATTTTCCCCACACATAGGGCGATTTTTCGCAATAAAAACGCGATTTTTCCAGTTGAAAACTGCCTGACGTTTGCTGTCAAGCAGCGCAGCCATCACTTGCGCTGATAAACTCAATATTAGTCCGGTAGATTTGGAATTTCAGTTTCAATTTTTCTGTGGAAAATTTGTCACTCCGAAAATGATCCGGATTCGTGGTAGTTTTCCGAACCAAAGTGCGGTTTTCTGGAGTTTCTTTTTGAGACATTGCCCACTATGCATTACGGAAATGGACAGTCAATGGTAAGTGCCACATTTTATTCGCTTAATGGCTTATATTTAGTTTATTTACCCTCAATGCAGTTAATTGTATAACAAAAGTACTCATTTTCTGTTTTAATGTTTGGAAAGCGGAGCATTCGATTGTCGTTTCCTTTGCACCTCTGTTCGGGAACTACTAATTTCTAAGCTTGGGAAAGAGTGCATCTACGTTGCCTGACAAAAAACTCCGGCCACCTAAAATTTATCAAATACTAAAGTTCGAAAGTTTCTGCTTGTGCCGGCCGATTTTAAAAATTAGGTCAGTCAGTAAATAAAGCGTAGTTTAATGATTTCTTAATGCATCTCTTGATCTGAAGAAAAACTTTTAAATGTTGCATGTTTACTTTTAGAGCAGGAACTTTCCAACGGTCATTTTAAGCAAAATATTATCCATTTATGGACGTATACGCGCTCAAAAACACCTTGATTCGCATACGATGTGATTTTGGTTGGTCGCTGTTGGCGCAGATTGCGTGAGATTTGCCCCGTCAATATTTCAAAAGTTCTCAAGATGTCTTGATTTTTGCGCTAAAATTTGTGTATCTGGTGAAAAACAAACTTGTTCTGCACCCTTTGATGCTAATTTCCCGGCAAATGGTGCAATTTTAGCCACAAAAACGCAATTTTTCGAGTTGGACACTATCTGACGTTTGCTGTCAGGCGGAGAAACCACCTCCACTTGGGTTTAAAACCGCGACATTAGTCCGGTAGATTTGGAATTTTAAAGCGGTTTTGAACTCTAAACAATTTCCATTGTCCTGCGGAAATATTTTGATTTTCTTAAACGCTGTTTTATCTGGCTTTGCGGAATTTTCCTGATAAAAGTTCGATTTTAACAAAAAAACGAGTTTTTCGAATGTGTTTCGAGAGTGTTTAACCTGTGCCTATTTGAAACAGTGCCTATTTGAAATTTACGGGGTATTTTTGAGTTTTTTCAAGACTGAGAACTTTGCCACTATGGAATGGACTAGTTGGATACGGAAACCTCCAATCAAAGGTAAATGTCAAAAATTGTCTTCTCACGAGGCTCTAATTAGCGCAAAAAATGTCCGCTTTTCAGGTCAAATTTTTGGTGGGGTCGAGATGGTAATTTGTTTTTCAATTTCCCTGCGATTTTATCCGGAAACTAGACTAATATTTAGTCGGTCAATTGCGGCGATTTACGTCTGTGTGTAATTTTGTAACCGTGAGAAAAACCGCATTTTTCATTCTTTTCCTTTTGTCTGTTTGCAACACCCTGTAGAGTGAGCCGAGCAGAAAGCTCGCCCCGGGTTTTTGTCCCACATTTTAAGCTCTGTTCATAAACATCGGTTCTTCATCTTTTAATTGTCTCGATAGCTCAATTTTGAGGAAAGTACATATACAGATCCCGTGAATCCCTGCATTTTTTTTTTTTGAGAAAGAGAAATGGATGCAAACAAATGAAAAATTCAGGAGTGAACACCGGTTATGTTACGCATGCATTACGAAAAGTACTGTATGAAATCGACTAGACATTAAATTAATAAGACTTTTTTTGAGGAGCGGCATAATTTTCTTCTTTCAACACTCAACGCAGGTCAATGAGAGTTCCATAGGAATAAGATCAGAGCCTCACCCATTATCTATGCTCATTTTATTGTAACTGGTGAATTGGTGTTAATTTGCTATAAGTATGAATGTTGATTAATTAGTTAAGTCAAATTGAGTGAAAATCTTAGTCGATTTGACCCAATAACAAAAGCAATTACAGTCGGCGATTGGAAGCAAAGTGTCTGTTGACTCAAGCCGCTAAGCAATAAAAAAGTAAAACTATAAAATCCAAGATTGACTACAAAGCTGCAAGGCCTTCTCGTCCCAGTTAAACACAATTGAAAATATTATTTGACACGTTCTCAATTAGTAATATATCTTCGATCGGAAAGCAATAAACCGCATTTTATTGACGGCAATTATAAATAAGACCTACATAAACAATCGCAGAACCGCTTCTTAATCCGTTCTTTAATTAAATTGTTTACCATTTGTGGGTCTTTTTTTGAGCGAGCGCTGTTCAATGGTGTGGCACCATAAATTAAGGACAACGAAATATTCAAATTGTTTCGAAGATAGCAAAATAGGCCGTGTGTGATTATTTGAAAATGCCCATACATCATGCGTTCACATTATAAAACCAACGGAATTTCGAATGAGAAACTTTCCAATAATTTTAACGATTGAGCAATAATAATTCTTCTTTGATGCCGTGGTTCTTCGGCTGCTGCTCCTGCTGCTCCCATCAGCATTAGGCAGTACCAATCCCATTTAATAAGGTACCGATAACGATGGTTTTTTTCAATTGTGAGCGTCCAAGCTTGGAATCGTAATTATTTCCGTCACTTCTCATTTATCTGCAATGCGTTTCAATCTTAGTGCTTAGGAGAGTGTTTAGTTTAAGCAGGACAGTTCAAGTGGTTTCTGAAATATTAATGTACTTAACTAGTAACTAACTGTTTGGCGCTATGAATAAGTTTAACAGTGGAAAAAACTGATCTTCTCCACTCTGACGTAGTGAAGTAAATTGAATGAAGATTTCCGCAATATCTAAACAGAAAAAACTAGTCATGATCCGGACAAGCAATTGAAGAAAATCAATGCGAATGTTCCAGGCTCCGGTTCAATTCCCTCCACATGACATGAGCAAATTCACTGAATTTTTGGTGAAAACTCCTCTGTTGTTTCCTCCGTCCTTCATTGATTGCTTGAGTTTCCGCCTGGCTCAGCGTGAGCAGCCGAAGCAAACACTTCATTTCGATCCACAAATTCATACCAACAACGACCAAATAACCCAAAAATCACCGATTGTGCAACCATGCCCATAAAAGCCTTAAGTATTGGTGAATAACTGGTGCGTTTTGTAGAATATTTCAACTGCTCTCTAATTCACCGTCCAGTTATACTCGAGTCCATCGCGTTATTAATTCCATGCACCGCATTCCATGTAATTTTCCCGTGCGGAAATTATCTTGTCCTGCGTTATTAAACCGTAACGGTTGTTTTATTTTTCATTCCGCATCTTAAAACAAATTATCTTCTGGCTTTTTATCGGAAATAATTGAATGCAGTTGCTGCTGCGCCACTTCTTATCGTCGATTTATGAACAACAATTCGCTGAACATTTTCTTCTAGCATCTGGTAATTAACTGCGCAAAGTTTCACTGCAGGTACTTCCATTGTCCGGGCATCATTCTTAATTACACAGGTCAATCCCACGTTATTTAAACTATAACATTCAGGCGCCTTCCTAAGTGCATAAGCTTGTAAAAAAGATAGTGAGCTTTTACCTTATCTGCCTGCTGATGCAAAGCAGAGGTGGGCATTGTGTGGAATCTTCGAACCTACCTGCAAGAAGGCCGGAGGAGTCGAACTCTTGGAAATTAATCGGCCCCACTAAGGGGTTTTATTACTGCGCTGATAACAGCGGGTTGATCCATTTGGGGCTTTTAGGACCAGCATTTTACGCGTTATCGTTTACCGATAGCCCCGTATGCTTCTAAATAATTTAAGTGTCCTCATGAACTGTTTATTCTGAAAATAGCTCACTGAACAGGAAGTTTGGCTACTAAAGCAAACAGCCATTGTTTCAACTCATGCAGGTATAATAAAAATGATCTTCACTTATTGTTTGATAATGGGCTCCCAGCTATATGGAGGGCCGGAAAAAAAAGCGCCTCGTCATAATCCGTAATTAACGAACTAAACAAACATCAAAGAAGAGAGAAAAGATTCATGTAATTTATTCGGCCCGTGGGGTCTGGTCAGTGAAACAATCTTCCGAAGAAACCATCGCTTGCACCCAGTAAGGGGCACGTTTAATTGTCTTCTGGTTCATACCAAATGATATGGCAACTGTTTTACTTTGTCATTTTTCTGTTTGCCTGCATTCTCGTGATTAGATAAACACAGAAAGATTATCAAATAAAAATTTTGCATGTAACTCATTGTGCAACGTGTCGTAATTTCCTGGAGAAGGTACTTGGAAAGTTATGCAATCATTACGTAATTGCGAAGAAATTGGAAAATATCTATATTGAGGCTATTCGGTAGAGTTTTGTGGAACAAAAGCCAAAGTTTCCTTTTGATCAAACAAAGAATCTTATGAACGTAAACAATTTAAAAATAGATAAAATGGATTATTGTCCAAAGCACATAAACGTAATGAATCATTTTTCCATATCAAATGAGCGATTTCAGTCTCCGACTTGGGATTGGTTGTTTACAACTGTGGCTGCTCCTTATCAGCCAATAGAGATAATTCGTTTCCACGTAATATTTGAATCCAAACTGGTCACAACTTGTTAGCATTTATTTCAATTTTATATTTAATTTTTAATTAAAAACTATTCCACCTGCACAAATCATGCAGCTTTTGTGACGATAGGCACTTCTTTGCTAATGTATAGGCAGTATGTTTAAATAACCGTAAACAACAGATAATTGTTGTTGTTTTATAGAATGATTAAATCAAATGTGCCTATTGATAACAGGCCTGTTGATGCATTAAATTTAATTAAAATCGATTAAAAAATTGTAATAAAATGGCAGTTAATTAGCTACTTTGAGGCAAAAAAATGCGATTGTCTGCTGTTGTTCTAGTGCTAGTTTTTCCTCCTCTATTAAGTAAATAAAGTCTAATAAGCGCGGTTATTATTAGGACAAAGATAATTAATAAAACTTGGTTTCTTTCTCAATCTCAATCATGTGTTCTATTTCTATTAATAACTGGTGCTTGGTGGAAACAATGGCAGAGATATTCCAGTATCCACAGACGAAATTTTCGAATAAACGCACACATCAAGCCCGACATAGTCAAGTCGAAACAACAGGCTTTGTTTGAATAATTAAACTTGAATAATTACCCGCACTGTTACAGTCATACACAATTGCTTTATCTAGGACCCTCATTAGCGTTTATCGGCGCTTATCGAGGCAAAAAAATACGTACACTGTCGTTGTCATATTAA